GGTGGTGCAGGCGTGGACCATGTCCAAGTGAGGACTTTGTCCAGGAGAGGAGCAGAGGGCTTGAGAGAAGTGGGAGCAGGAACAGGTAGCCCTGGCAGAGGATGGAGGGGCTGCTCTGTCGCAGCTTTCTGGGTTGGGGTGCTAGATGAATGGCAATTCTGTAAATGAAAATAGACAGTAGGCAATAGCATGGATTTGGCAGGGAAGATTCTATCATTCCATTTGGACATGCCAAGGTCTCTGTTAGGAATCAGGAGCAAGGTATGGATTAAAAAATGGAGAGCTCCAATAAATTACCGTATCTCCTGAGAGAATTTTGAGATTATACTGTTTACATCTGTCCTAACATCCATCTTACCTTTTTGAAACTTCATTTACCCAAAATGACTATGAGGGCAGTATGGGAAAAAAAAGTTTGAAGGAAAAGATGTGGTTTTGGACTAAAGAATCCAGGAGAGGTTAGGAAGTGAGACATCGTGTTCTCCCTTCCAAGAACAGTGGGGAAGAACCTATACGTTCTACACAGAAGCACAGGAGGAGAGAAGAGGTCATTCTCATTCTTTACACACCCAATTCTGCCCAATTGTGTAACTCACTGAGAGAAATGCAAAGCATTTCACACCTGTATTCCCTCAGTTTCCCTTTCCAGGTGAAAGGACACAATCCTGAGGGTGGCAAACACACAAGGTGACACATCAGACCCTGGTAACTCTTAAAGTCCTCTCCAAATACAAATAGGTCAGGGCCAAGGTCTTTCTTCCTTACCATATTCATGCCCTCAAGACTGATTGTTCCTGCCAGACATGGCATGTGCTGACTGAATATTCCCTCTCTCTTATATACCCCTACAAACTGACTTCAGGGGGAGTGATAAGAGAAAGGTTTTCTTCTTTTGGTTCCTCTTTGCATATTCTTATGCTTCAGCCCTTCTACCGGCTGATGAGGAAGAGGTTTCCCCTCGGATGTAGAAATGGGATCGCCAGTCCATCTAAGCAAGAAGATCTGCTAATAAGATGAATTCTCCCAGCAGACTAATTCTCATAATAAGTTCAGCACACTGGGAAGCCCTAAGGGTTGACCTCGGTTTATCAAAACAGTATGTCATCACCCTCATTAACTGTATTCTTCCTTTGGTATTGGGATGGAATACAGTGGAAAGAGAGGGGACAGAAATTATTGTAATTCTGAATACAGGACATAAAACAAGTGAATTCCATATACTCCCACGAACATTAATATTCCCCTCACATTTCTTTTTTTTTTTTTTTTTTTTTTTTTATTTATTTATTTATTTATTTATTATCTTTTGTAAAGATGAGGTCTCACTATGTTGCCCAGGCTTGTCTTGAACTCCAAGCCTCAAGAGGATCCTCCTCCCTCAGCCTCTGAAGTGCTAGGATTACAGGTGTGAGCCATTACACCTGGACAGAATCTCAGTTTTCATCCCCTCACATTTCTCAGCAGTATCTGGCAAAGTTAATTGGTTCTAGATCTCAATAGCATCACTTCATGTAGAAAGCTTAAAATAGAGTTTGTCAGTATTCTTGGAAATATATACACACAATATATATATGTGTGTGTGTGTGTATGTGTGTGGGTGTATTATATATATGTATATACAAGAAGTTGAAACAAAATCAGAAGTTAGCTTTATTACACAAATTTTTAAATTTGAATAAATTTACCCAGTCACAAATGGAGAAACCAGGGACCTTAGTGTTGTCTGCAAGACTGAAAAGCCAGAGTTAGAGTGTTGTGTGTGTGTGATGTGTATATATGTGGGGTGTGTGATTGTGGTTTGTGTGCATGGTGTGTATGTGAAGTGTGTGTGTGTGTGTGAGTGAGAGTTCATACTTACAGTTTTCTTTTCTATGGAATTACAATGATAGAAAGTATAACTGTTTACCACAATGCCTTTCTCCCTTGGAGCAAAAGACTGATGAAATATAAGGAGCAGATATGTAAGAAATGAAATGAGCAAAATAATTTATTTTAAAAATTACTGAAAATTAGGGCTTATAGCAAATATTTTTCTTCTCTTTTGAGCTGTGTAATTGAGGCTTAAGCAAATTTGAGCCAGAGAAAGAAGGATCATGATGTGTCTGCTACAGCAATACAACAGATTTCATCTCTCTCTAGGATTTAATGTCATTGGGATTCCAAGAGAGATGGGAAGAAAAATGGCAGCTATAAAAAAAGAGCAAAGGGACCCTGATGTTGCAGGAAATAATGGCTGGTAAATGACTCTGTCTTCCCTCCCAATATAGATTCAGTCAAACAGTGCATAAAGACAGAGGCAGTACGCGACATTGTGTTGCTGCCTGACATTTTTAGAAATGAGTGGGCATTTAAATCGTAGGAGTTAAATTAAATTACTGAATTGGGAGGTCATATGGCTTTTGGATCTGATTCTATAAGTGACGGAGCGACATTTCAAGCATTAATGCATGAAAACAGCATTCAGGCACTTGCATTATTTTTTTTTATTTTGAAGATATGGGATACAATTCAGGGTTAGGTATACAAATGTTCATTATGCAGGTACCACATTATGTGTACATTTTTCTTTTCCTATGTCGTAGCCTCAGTGAGATAATGCTTCTTTTAACTCAGGAGGTCTCTTGCAAATTCTAAACGAGATATAGTATTTTCTCTTATCAAAGTATTTTATTCTAAAAGGTATGTTCCTGTAATGCAACTTGATGGTAACCCAAAAGAGGCATAAAAACAAGTAGAACTTGCTGAGGTAGCCTAGACAGCTGCATTGTGGTACACCGAAAGCTGGGCCACCTTGGCCCAGATGCTTTTGAATCTTGACTCTACCGTTTACATGCCATGAAACCCTGGGGCAATTATGGACTCTCCTTGTGCCCTAGATTAATCATCTGTAACAAGGGGACACATACCTCTCTTGCTCAAGAAGAGAGCTTAATATAAACTAAGGAAAACCATCCACAAATTTAGTGCATGCTCAATAATTCTAGCCATTTAGCCCAAAATATTATTTTTGCTGGTAAGAAAAATGGGATTTAAGGCAAAACAAAACAAAGTAAAAGCTAGTAAGAAGCAATAAGGTTGGCCTAACTCTCAGACCTAACTAGACCCCCAAGGAAGGTTTTCATCTAACCACATCACCAAAACAAAGTAAATATGTCTTTCTTTTCATGTGATTTCAGGTCGCAGATCAAGTTCCCCGTGATGACCAACAAGCAAAACTGTGCCTAGTATTACATTTTATAAGTAAGAACAGACCACGTGACTTCCTCTCCTTTCAAAGGGACACGGCTATTTCTCACACAATTTTCACAACTTGTGTGTAATAACGAAGTAAGAGTCTTAGCTGAGGGTATGACTCTTAAAATGAGTTGGGGCAGAGAAGTCCCCAAATAAATGACTGGGAGAGGGACACAGGATAGCCTAGTTGCCTCTCAGGTCAGGTTGTGAAATCTGTCTTCTGGAGAGCCTAGTTGCACTCTGAGCAAGGGGGTTCTCTTTCCACATTTGTAGTCCCCTACTGGGAGTTCAAATTAAATTAGGTCTCACTTAAATTGGATTTTCTCCCACTACATTAGCATTTGCACAGTCTTGCCAACATTCAGCAACTTGCTAATTAGTGATGGGATGATTTCAGCCTGGATAGTGGAATCATGTTTTACTGCTGCTGAATAGGTCTGTGGCTGGCCCATCAAAGGGGTACTGTCTCGTATGCATGTTCAGTTTTTATTCTGGTGGGCATGCCTCAGTTAACAAACTTACTCCACTGCTAGAAATGGACACCACAATGACCTTTTCCCTAATCTGAGGAAATGGAAATTTAAAAAATATGCCAAATGTTTCCATGCAACTGACTTGTTAATCTTGGTTTTCTGATTCACTTATGCTGAAGTCATGCCCCAGAATGACGTGTCTCTTTGATAAGTAGTAGCAAAGCAGAGTGTCAGAAAATCAGAGAATGAAAGGATAATTCTTTCTGAAGAATTATGTTCCAGAGTAGCCAAAGGCTGAAGCTGAAAATATTTATTTGTCTAAAGTCTTTTCACCTTCCTGTTACACAAAACTTCAAGTATATCCAGAAATTGAAATGCTTTGAGCTGGAAATAAGTAACATAATTTTTGAAAGTTGAAATTAGATAGTTACAATAGTTTGGACTGTTTTTTTCAACTACATATTCAGTTGATGCTTCTGGTTTTCTTTAGGTGCTTCTAGAAGTACAGACACCAAGGGATCTCACAGTCCTGTTAAACATATCCTCACAAAGAGGATCTCTAGTTCGTCCTAGCAAAATTCTTATTAAATGAATGAACTTAATAATTTAAAATCTGCTTAAGCTTTAGACATCTGTCATCTCACGGTATAATTTAGTAGCAATAAAATTTAGATACATTTGATTTCCATTCTAACTGGCTGGAGAAGTCAGGGTTATGTTTTTCATTAATAATTACTCAAATCCATAGGGAAAAAAATACAGATTTAACAAAAAATCCACATATCTCTGAACTGTTTCTAGTAAGTATATATGGACACTCAAAGCCATCACCATCCCATTAGGACTTTATCTTTCATAATCTATTCCACCTAAGAATGAAGCAGGCTCACAATTTCTCACCATCTTAAAAATAATCTATGTAATGGATAGTTTCAAATTCACCATTTTATTCAGATTGAACCACTCATTTAACTAAGAGACGTATATACACCTCTTCAATCTGTGTTTAGATTCCCTGATACCAACAGTTACAAACATGGTATCTAGTCAAACTGACTCAAGAGCTAAGCCCCTATTATATAAAAAAAAATGAAAGTAATGTTAAAAATTTACAACTACAGGAACTTTTCCCCCAGGGAATATATAAGTATACATATTTTAAATTAACATACAATATCATTGCACCAAAAATGGAGTTGTTTAAGTCATGGAGTCAACTTTGTAGATCCAACAGCAATATGCTGAAGAGAGCTTAAGGAGTGGCGCATAATCCATCTGCCAAATCTCATTTCGAGGAAACTGGAAGTTGTATTTAGCTGTATAATAACTGGCTTCTCAGGATTTCAGCTGTCAGAAGCCTTTTCCTCTATCCATGCCAAAGGGAAATATTACAAGGCACAAATAACAGAGGAGTTGATGTGCATTTGCAGCAGAAACAAGCCACAGCAAAAACAAAAAAGAGGGTCCTCAGCCAGGCTCCCTCGTTGCCCGCTGTCCCGCTCTGTGGGTATATGCTTCTACTGATTGATTTTCTTTTCTGAGGAGAAATCTATGAAAAACAGCAGGAAAATGTTTTAGATTAAACATTAACATTTCATTTCTCTTCTGGCTTGGGGCTAACTTAAAGTTTGACGCTGGGGAAAAAAAAAAGAGATATTATTCATGAGCTCCCCACAAGTTTATACTGAGAAATCAGGAGGCGGGAAATGGAGGGTTATTATTTAAGCACTGACATATGCTTACCATTTTTTGAAATCAATTGTGGTCTTACTCTAGTCATGCCTGAAGAGGAATGTTCTGCACTCATTCTCATTCTTGTTGGCATTTCATTTACTTGGGTATTTGCTTATGGAATATGTATTACTGTTAGGCTTCATACTTACCCAAAGAAAGATAACTTGCCAAATGCACTGTGTTTAAAATATGGTACTGGGTACTTTATCATGAAAGTATAGGAAATATCACAGCTCTTAAAATGTATCAACGTATCATGAAGAGAAATATGAAAAATTTAGAATATCTTAATAGGACCAAGATAAAATGCCACAAATGAGTACCACAAAGAAGACATCAAAGGAGCTTATTCAAGGCAACAGGAAAAAACCATAGAAGTCCCCAAGAAATAAAGTGTGGTCCTTACTCGTGATAACTTAAAAATACGTTGAATGTTTTACACTTGCTGCCCTGCATTTGGTATACCCAAGATATGCTAAACTAATATTTTGGGAACTAAAAAGCAAACAGAAGATAATAAGTTACTGTTCCAGGCTTTAAAAATATGCTGCAGAGAACTGTGGTCTCTACATTAAAAATATATCTAATATGTTGAGAACATAAATTTGAACCCAGAAGCATAATTCATGGATATAACCAATCTTAAGTTAAGATTTAATCCATTAATCAAATTACTGGGTATCTTAAAATATTAAAAAAGTTAACTCCTTTGTAATTTGTGCAGTGCTCTTATGAAATAGGCATAGAGTTAAGGGTCATTATTGGCATATTTTAGATAGAAACTGTGGCCCATATGATAATCTATGGCAGAATGGAACAAAAGCAAATCTGAGCAAAAACAAAAACAGGTCTTTAGTTTCTTGAAGGGAAGGTAGACTTTCCCCACGTTTACAGTGAAGATGGACACAGACTTCTGTCCTGAGATTGGGCCATAGTTACAGTGACAAGGGAAGAGTAATGGCACAAGGGAATCCTGGGTCCTCACAGAGCTGGAAGGAGTCAGCTTGGCCATGTTGGCGGGTGAAAAACTCCACTCATAGACTGTGCATCTGATTACTTATTAAAGTTGCATTTTGTGCTTTTGAGTTCACAAGAATGCAAGCTAAATAGGATGATGCTGAAGTGACATGAATATGACCCAGAGACTTTGGTGGCAGAGTCCCTCCTTGTCTTTACTCCGTGTCAGGGATTAGCTGAAACTAAAGCTCACTTGGTACAAAGGGCGAAGGAGGTGTCAGTACAGCAGAGCAGGGCCCAGGACTGAGGGTTCTGTACTTGCCTTGCCAATGAGCCTCTTAGAAAGGAGACGTTAGGCGTGACCTGCAGAAAACTCAGGTAAGTAATGTTCTTCCAGGTTGGGATGCAATATTGAATACATGTTTTGCTTTCCTTCTCTGTAGGTTTTTATCTTCAATTTAAGATAATTACTGTAATTTTTTAGATAATTATTTACCTGGTTAAACTGTGAATATTATAGACTTATGTGTGCATTTTTTTCCCCATCTAGGCTCCATCTGTCTTCTATCTATCACTCTGTCTACCTTAATTAGAATATTTAGTATTTGCTTATAAAATCCCGGTTTGAATAGGAATATGTTTATCACCTATATGCTCGTGTGTGTGTGTGTGTGTGTGTGTGTGTGTGTATACTTTTATAAAACTTTATCTAATATTCGTTCAGCAAAATAACTGAGTTTATTGACAGACTAAGGTTTATAGTATAATATGATTAGATGTCATATTTCCTGCAATTCTTTTCTAAAAAAATCTAAAATCAGGCATAAAATTATCTACTTCTAAATTTTTTTTTTTTTTTTGAGTTGGAGTCTCACTCGGTCGCCCAGATCCGGCGATCCTTCTGCCTCAGCCTTCCGAGTAGTACAGGCATGTGCTACCACGCCCGGCTGATTTTTTTTTTTTTTTTAATTTATTGTAGAGATGAGGTCTCACTGTCCAGGTGGGTCTCGAACCCGTACTTCTAAATTTTATTAACCTGTCTATATTAATCACTGGTTATAATTAAGAAGAAAATGCATTTCATAAAAGAAAAATTCTTAATGCTTTTCAATTTGTATTGAAAATTATACTAAATATGGACTTAAAATTTCCTCTGCTTCTTACATGTCTTTGCAGCTTTTATTATTTACAGTGGTTTTTTTTTTTTATTTTTTCATACTGACAAGAACAGAAAAAACTCAACTAATTCAGACATTTTACCAATATAAAATTATCTGTAATGCTGAGAAATAAAGGCAGTTATAAAAAGACAAACTGAGAAATAGAGGTGTAGTACTGGCTTTCAGGATTGACTCACCAGAATTTATCTGCATAAAGTACACGCAAATAAAATACTAGTATGTTTTACTTAATATATAGTGTAGAATAGTCCATACAACTTGGTGGTTACAATGCAGGCTTTGGAGTCAGTCTGCCTGTGTTTGCCTGACTCCTAGCCAATGACTTGCCGTAACTTGACAAGTTACATATCTCTCTGTGCCTCAGTTTTCATATTACAAAATAAGAAAAACAGAAGTGCTCATTTTATAGAGTTGTTATAAAGTTTTGATGAGATAATATACATAAAGCACCAAAAATAATTTCTGGCATGGAGTTAGTGTTATAAGTAGGTTTGTCAGAGTCATAGAAAATTATTTATAAAGTACAACATCAATTAATATTAATTTAAATATCCACATTTCTGAAAAGGTCACATCTTTTTAAATATAAGTAAAATATTTTCAGTACTTGTTACCAGAATAAAACAGGAATTGTAAGACATAATTTTTATTTACAGAGTCTAAATTTTTCACTCATTTTTCCTTCCATTGCCTGAATTTTGATATTTCTAGCCCAGAATATGGTATATTGACTAGCAGTATATTGTTAAATCGTGAATAAATATATTAATGATGTACTAAAATAATGACTACTATCAGAACAAAAATGTCTGTATAATCAAAGTTTTTAAAACCTGTGATTTCTTAATAATCAAAACCACAAATTATTGTATGAGAATTCTGGGCAATTCAGTTAAACTTACAGATCAAAAGCAGCTTCCCAACTAAATGACCCAAAGAAACAGCAAGAATAACTACTGATATTAAATATTGGTGCATGAATCATTTGTGACTAGGGTGAGTTCAGAGCTCTTGCCAAATCCTCTGACCTGGCTCAAGCTATGAAATACTATCAGTTGTAGGAACTAGAAAAGGAGCAGTAAGTATCCCAACTAGGTAGATTTGTGAGTAAGGAATTTATTTTTTTTTATTATTTTTTTTTGAGTTGGAGTCTCACTCGGTCACCCAGACTGGAGTGCAGTGGCCGCTCCCGGCCACCGCAGCCTCGACCTGCTGGGCTCCGGCGATCCTTCCGCCTCAGCCTTCTAAGTAGCCATAATTACAGGCATGCGCTACCACGCCCAGCTGATTTTTTGATTTATTGTGGAGATGAGGTCTCGCTGCCCAGGCGGGTCTCAAACCCGCGGGCTCAGGCAATCCATTCTTTGGTGGTCTCCTAGCCATGATCAGCCTCCTTGCCTACCACAGATCAGTCACAGTGAGCTGCAGGGCAGTGTCGATCAGGTTTCAAATCAGTGTTGGTTTGCAGGGCAGGTTCCAAATGGTAACATACCCCTATCAGGTTCCACCAGGGCTGCCCATGCACAGATTAGTTCATAGCAAATTTATTAAACACTTACTCTTACATAGTACTGTGTCTTTATCTGTGATAATTTAAATGTCAAGTGAATAGCACAGATAATATATGCTGGGAATTCATAGAAAGACAGGATGAGTAAGAGTTAGACACTAGTCATATTATCATCCAAGTTAGAGCTCCATTATCACTTTTATATTCATAACTGTAGAACATTTTAATATCATGAGAGGGATGACTTTTCAAGGGCACCGTAGGATGTGATTCAAAGCACAGAGTTTGGAATGCTGTGTCAAAGAATTGAATCCCAGTACTAAATTTTACCAACTGTGATTTAAGCATATTGTTTAAATTCTCCAAGCCTCAGCTTCCTCATGTGTACAATAGTACAAAATAAAATCTATTTTATACTATTATTGTAAAGATGAAAATAAATAAAGTTTTAAAAATACTTAGGTTGGTACATAATAGAGGTTTATTTTTCATTTTAGTTTTACATATGTAGACATTGTGACACAGTAAGTTTATACATCACAAAGCTCATATTTTTCCTAAGTAGACAAAACTCAGTTAAGTCTCATACACTGACTACAAAATTTCATTTTTGCATATTCTATTTTGTTTCTGAATGTCATCATAATTCATTTCTATTTTATATAATCGTTAGCTTCCATAACATTGGCTCAGGAAGAATCCAATAGTGATATATAAATGGATTTATAATATTACTAAATTCTCGACTGAGTAATTGTATTTTCTGGTGATTAAACACTAACTGAGAAAGAAAATATTTTTAATATTCATTCCAGACCAATAAAAAATCAAAAAGTTATAATTTGGTGGTCATTCAACTAGTAAACAACAATCGATTTTAAAAATACAGATATTATGCAACAATCATCCTAATTAATAGTATTCTTTTCTAATAAACGCACTCCATCATAGCTGGAACCCAAGAATTCATTATAAAACCACTGGCTATATTTGTAGCAGAAAGAAAAGAAAAAATAAAGCTCTATAAGTGTTCTGATAAATACCTGGACATTTTATTATAGAGTTCTCACATATTACATTTCTTCTCTATGATGCTACTATAATCTATGTTCTTTTTTTTTTTTTCTGAGTTGGAATCTCACTCTATTGCCCAGGTTGGAGTGCAATGGCACACACGCACATGTTCACTCCAGCATTGACCTGCTGGGCTCCAGCAATCCTTCTACCTTAGCCTTCCAAGTAGCCATAACTACAGGTGCGTGCTACCGCGTCCGACTAATTTTTTGTTTTATTGTAGAGATGAGATCTCGCCAAGTTGCCTGAGGTGGTCTTGAACCCATGGGTTCAGTCAATCCACTCACCTTGGCTTCCCAAAGTTCTGGAATTACAGGCTGAGCCACGGAGCCTGGCCTAAGCTATGTTCTTTACCACTCCCATTGTGACTGCGTTCAGCTGTCCAGATTGCACATTGAACTACTCCAGGAGGCTCAACTCACATAGAGTAACATGGCGAGCCCATATGACTTACTAAGGTCACAGACTACAGAACTACATGTGGTATCCTTGGCTCCCTACTTCCACTCCATAATGGACTCCCTGTATTAAAAACTAGAATTTTATGATCTCAGCTCTGAACTAAATTAAGATCAAATTTCAAGAATGGCCTGACACTAGAATATAGCTCATCTGCAGCTTTTCTAGATAGATCCAAATTTCTGGAAATTAACAAGTTAGAGTCCCAGGTGTATGTCATAGAAGAGTTTAAATATGTAGCAGAAAATGCTAACTTTTGATGACAGAAGTATAAGTGCTGAGAATTGGAGTGGGATTATGATTATGGCTTAGTTTACACAGGCCACTTCTGGGTGGCCTCATGAAACCATAGAAACAAGCAAAGAAGGATATAGCAGATTCTAGAAAGAAGAAACAATATGGTAAACCAACGAAAAGTAAGATGAAAAAGGATTCTTAGTTGTGGGTACTTTACAGGTGACTTTGAGTGTTTCCCAGCATACTTAGAGGTGGGTGTTGTGGGACAACCCTGGGTTGAACTAAGAGCACTGCCTTGGAGTCTGACATTGAGTCACAAGGGAACAGAGTTCTGAGCCTTTGGTTTTCTCTGTCTGTGTGCCAATGACATTTAAAACATCTGTCTAGCAAACTCAACCTGGAATAGTGGATGTGCATCTGCCCTTTGCAGTACAATCGTAGCGCTTTGTTGTTGTTGTTGCTATAATACAGCTCGGCTTAAAGTTTTCATTTGTAACCCCAGATGGAATAACGACTCAGAGACTGGAAGAGGAACAGAAGCCAGAATGGAGATTCATGCTTTTCTGCATTTGCACGTTTTCTTTGTCTCAAGGAGTTCAATTTAACCCCAGGTGCATCAAATTAAAGTTAGGTATGCAACACAGCTTTATAGTAAGTCTCCCCCGAATACGGATGGATGTATGTTGAGTAAACATCCCCAGAAGATCCCATGAAAATGTAAACATGAAAAAATGCTCAATACAGCTGTGGTCTTACCATGTGCCTTGTGCTGTGCATCTGGCGGAAGCTGGTCAAGAGCATACCACGGATAGTCTGGCTGTGTGGAACAATAAAACATTATTATAGCAATATGGACTTCAAACAAAACATAGTGGCATGTTAAAATATAATTATGCAGTGTGGCTTTTATTAAGCAGGCAACAAAAAGTCATTTTTACCCAACCTGTTGTCAATATTGCTCATCCCATTTACCTCCAGTCTCACTACTATCATCTCTCCCCACCCCTACCCAAATCCACTCTGTGTTTTGCCAGAATTTCTACTACTTTGGAATTCAGGTTTTTTGTACTTGCTTTTGTTTTTGAAACAGATGTGTTTTGGATATCTGCAGAAATATAAACACTTTTGTAAAACGTACTGTAGCCCATAAACAAAACAAAGCAACTTACATCAACAAATACTCTTTTTAAAACCCTCACACTGGAGACAATGAGAGGACCAGGGGAAAAAAATGCAAGTTTAATCCAAGTTTTCTAGTGGTTCAGGAGGAAATCTAAGCTATTAAATTGGCAACATGGCATACATGGTTCAGAATAGTGATGCAGGGCAGATCTTTGAGCTGTTCCCGAACCTATTAGGCAAAACTTACTCTCTAAATTACTCAGATCATTTAGTTTTGAAAGACTGGATTTTTTTGCTTGGGATTTTCTCCTAGGTTTATACCAGTTAATAATAGCTAGATACTGACTTCCACAGAAATTGCATTGAATAAATAATAAGCTATAGAAATGAATTACTCAGATGCTCCAAGGCCAGCATCTTTGGAATTAATTGCTTGGGATGGAACAGCCTCACTTTACCTGCCCTCAAAGTGGTCTGAAATGCTCACTTTTGCCTCCTACTTCCCCATAAGACACAGAGAATACAGATCTTTTGTTCTATTATTCAATTACCTCCTAAAAATAACTTGAGGAAAATTTCTCTTACATGAGCCAAGAGGGAGAATTTACAAGGCTGCCAGACCACTAAAAGTAGCCCAGAAAGTTCAATTACTTGACAAGACACCGAGAATGCTGTGCTTGGTGCAGTCTGACCCCACTTAGACACCTAGACTCTTGGCTTCTTTGACCTGTGAAAGAGCTGGAGGAGGAAATGAGATCATTTCTGCTTTTTATCTTCTAGTTTATTTTTAAACGTCTCAAATAACACACAAGATAAGTGATGTGAACCTCAGTTTTGTACTCCAGGAGAGTTGCCAAAAGAAGGTCAATATACTAGGATGTGACTAGCACTATTGCATGCGATTTAATTCAGACACAGATATAAGCAGGAAATATGAAATATTCCTTTAAAATTAACTCTGAGGGTTTTGTTGTAAACTCTACTGTTTTCAACCAAATACCCCTTGAAAATGTAGGCCATTGCACATGACTTGGGATCCTTTTTCAAATGTAGGCCTATATTTGGTGATAATTTTATGTGGTCTGGATTGCCTTATCTCTTCTGATTGACAAGGAATGTTTGATGAGTTATGATAGGTGAATTCCTTCTTTCTTTCTATAAATGAAGATCTGATAAAACAGTCATTCTTACTCCCAGATAAACTTGATGGTTTTATAGTTAATCTTTTACAAGAATATTTCTCCAATTCTTCAACCTGTAGGTGCTAACTCCTAAGAACATTTCTCTTTTTGTTCCCCATAATGTTAGTTTACTAAGACTCCTGAAAAAAAATTTAAAGGATGATAGCTGTGTTTGAAGATTCCCATAAATGTTTCTGGTAAAGTCTAAAAAGTAAGCTAACAGGTAAAGAAAAAAGGAAATGGAGGGGAGGGCGAGAAGACAGAAGTAGAATTCAGCAACAACATGAAAGACCCAAATTCTCAGCATTATGCTGAGTCATACCAAGGTCAAATAAGAGATGCTCATTAAATCCTGACAGGCTTTTGCCACCCAAAGAGTTATTATCTTCTCCCTTGGGAAAAAGACTTTGAGCCATAGTCAAATACAAAAGTACAAGAGGTTTCAGGCAACCTAGAGAACCATGCTCTCCATAAGAGTTCTGCTAGAAAAATGGCGGTTAAAATCTCAGATTCTTTGCATCACTAGAAATGCAATTAATAAAACCAAAAAGGTGGAGATTGTTGTTTGGGCAAATACAAAATGCTTCCCCCCCACCCCCTTAAAGGTTCTGTATAGAAGGCAAAATAGAGAGTAGAGACAAGCATCCAGATGGTGGGGAGAGAGCGGGTGGAATCCTGCTATTGAGAAGGAACAGAAGGGAGCTTTGAGTCTGCTTATTCAGGTTGACTGTCTAAATCAATTCCACTCACAAATAATTACTCAACTGTTCATTTCATTTTGCCTAGACAGACACAGCCATGGAGAACAACTTAAATGGGTCACTTTTTCTTGGGTCCTAAAGAAAATCCTTTCAATTGGAAAACGTCAAAAGCTATTTTGCCCATACGCAGCGATAGCCATATAAATTTACAACTGAAAAACCATCTCATCTTTACTCCTTTGCTCTGTTCACTTGTCTTTATACATAAGAATGTCCTTTGGGTGGCATCAGGGATGCCAATTGAAAATGACTCATCTAGCCGGGCTCAGTGGCTCAGCCTGTAATCCCGCGCCTTTGGGAGGCTGAGGTGAGTGGATTGCCTGAGCCCGTGGGTTCGAGACCCGCCTGGGCAGCGAGACTTCATCTCTACAATAAATCAAAAAATCAGCTGGGCGTGGTAGCGCATGCCTGTAATTCCGGTTACTCGGAAGGCTGAGGCGGAAGGAATGCCGGAGCCCAGCAGGTGGAGGCTGCGGTGGCCGGGAGTGGCCACTGCACTCCAGTCTGGGTGACTGAGTGAGACTCCAACTCAAAAAAACAAACAAACAAACAAAAAAGAAAATGACTCATCTAAAATATTATATGTTTGTTCAAGAAATTATAGCACAATTTGACACCTAGCAGTTAATTTATTCATATATACATGTGCTGTGGATTTGTGATCCAAAGATAATTACAGTGTACATTGACCACGGCAACTTTGCAAATTAGAGGCTGAGAGAAAATAGAGGTTTTTTCTGTAGACAATGTGATATGCCAAAATTCTAGAGATACGCATAATTTCTGTTCTAAGCAATTATTTGAAATAGGAATTCTTACTTACTGGGTGCTCCTGCTGACTCCGCACAGCTCCAGGGCTTGCTGGTGCCCATGGGTCTCGACGGTGGAAAGCCAGGCCGCAGTTGCAGGTTGGGAAATGCATCTGAGGAGAACAATGCTATCAGTTCACTGCCAGTGGGGGAAACTGAGAGTCATTCTGAACTTGCTCTAAACAACAAGGTTTGGTTTATGGTTTAGGTTAATTTGACATAATTCTAACTCAAAACAGTAAATATGTCGATATTGACTCAGGACTGATTCATAGGCCAAATTTTACATGAAGTGAAACTATAATCCTTTCTACATTTTAAAGAAGTTAGGAGCACTTGAAAAGTATGTAGGGTTAACTTTATATTTCTGAGTTGTCTTCATAGAGGTTCCTCACTGAAGAAAAACCATCCATTGAGTCATAAAGTAAGTTTCCTTAAATTGCAGCCAGAGACAACTAAATTCTAGAAAGGAAATTAGGAATTAAGAGACATAATATTTATTCCTAAAGGCTACTGGAGAACCCATGGGATAGAATGCTTCAGTGCCCAAGAAGATATGCTATTTTTCTTGAAAGAGGCAAAGTCTTTGATGTAGTTTTCCACTGTAAATTGTGAGAGCAACTGCAAGAAATACCAAGGAAATGTATTTCCCAGGTGTTTGTGGGTCTTTGAAGAAATCTCTATTTGAGTGAACACACTAAGACTTGTGCTACTGGTAATATGCTCTGTAAAGCATGTGTTTTGTATGAGCATTAGGGTTAAAAGGCCTTGGTGGTTCCTAAGCACATTTATCCATTGATGGTTTAGACAGAAATGAAAAGCATGGGTTATTCTAGGCTATGTAGCAGAGCTTGAATATGTCTTTAATTGAGACCATGAGAATGCTGTAAGTGGGAATAAATGCATGGGTGAAAAGTAAAGGTATAGTTTCACCATGACAAGAGGACATAGATAAGGATCAACATACCTGTTTTAATTGCTTTTCTAGTTTTTCCTTCTCCATCTGACAAGTTTCTATCTACAGACAAAACAGGACAAGTTCAAATTGTTAGTTCCAAAGCCACTCTTGGCCTACTCAGGATTGAGGCATAGACAGCAGTAATGCCAAAATAAGTTACATCTTGTTTTTTTCAGATTTGCGTTGACTCTATCATGAAATTCCCAAATGAAGTTTGGTAAGTTTGATAGCTTTAAACTATTATTCCAATTTTTTGAGGCCATTATGATTCTCAGTTTTAAGTTGATCTATATGTGTATAACATATTTTTTCTGATATATAATATATTCCATTGTTTACTGAATGAAATTGGAAATGTTCAGCCTGAATTCAAAGACTTTCACAATAAATTTTAGAAGTTGCATTTGCACTTAATACATGTCAGACACTGATATAAATCCTTTACATACAATAACTTATTGAATCCTCCCAATGCCTCTATGTTATTCCTAACATTATTATCTCCACTTTATAGATGAGGCCACCAAGACATGAGACACTGAGTAACTTTTTCAAACTTCTGAATTTAGGGCTTTTCACTATTTAAGGCCCAGCCTCATTTAAGAAAGCCACCTACCTTGAGTTCCCTCAACATTTGATACACCTAAAGAAAACTGCTTTTTTCTCTGACTGTTTAGTCATAACCATTGTCATCCCTACACTTCATGCTCCACATCCCTATAAGGCATGGTCCAAGTCTCCTTCCTTATGATACCTTTCCAAGTCTTCCTCATCAGACTTAGTCTCTCCTCCACTGGTCCCCCCATGTAGGATTGTACATTTACCGTGAATCTTTTTAGTCCAATTGTAATACTGCGTACAGCCAATTCTTGCTATTTGGTGGTAGTTATGTTCTGTAGAGTTACCACAGATACTGAATTAGTGAATATTGAACACTGTTCCTATGAGAAATGCAGGGTTAGGTTCTTGTGAGCTTCTGGTCACAGCAATTTTGTCAACTGATCAAACTGATAACCTTGTTTTATGTGTGTTTCTGACTAAGGACACATTATATTTAATATATATTATTGATTTATTAACTCTGAACTCATGGTCAATGACACTGCAACTTACACCTACATAAAGCTTATCTAACACAGGTTATTTTCTCTGTAAAGCACATCTCAGTCTGTGAAATCACCAACAAAAAGCACAAAAATGCAAAAAACACACCATTAAATAGACGGCAGAAGGACACTTTTAAAGTGTGATGGCTGAAACAAGAAGGCAGAGCATCTCCTTGCTCGACCTTAGATGGGCAGGTACTTGTCAGACAACTCAGCTTTTCTGCTGCTCTGCTCATGTTTGAGAATGTACCACAAAAGCAACCAAAGTACTGATTTTAAGGTGGCAAGTACATTTTGGTGAGTGGGCAAATTCATATATATATATTATAATTTATAATATATGAATTCATATATATATATTATAATTTGCAAATGATGAAGATATACTGTATATGTCTCTTTCACTATATTGTGAGCTCTTTAAGAGCAAGTACCTGTTTTTTATTCCCTCATAGATTACTGCAGAATGCCTTGCAGAAAAAAAGTCATCAAAATTAGATGACAAGAAACTAAAAGTAGCACGTAGCATACTAATTATAGCACTCAATGAAATTATTAAAAAAGTACTTCCTTCTAATAGACTAAAATAATTTTGTGAAATACCTTTGAGCCATGACTTGAGCTAGATGTTTTTATTAAAGTTTTTTTTTTTCTCACTTAACCATGAGAACAACTTTGTGAAGTCATGTAGTAGGTATCATTATCTCTATTTTAAAGGTATGTATACTGAGAGAGGTTAGATAACATATATCTTAGAGACCGAGGTTTTAGAGTTATTGGAAACATTTTACAGATTAAGAAAGGGAAGCATAGAGAAGTAGAATATCTTGCTCAAGGTTACCACCAATTGAGTGTTAGAGCAGGCAGGAACACCGTTTTTTTCCCCCTGAATTCCTCCTACTCCTAAATACCTGAATATTTTTCTCTTTACCACTTTGCCTATTTTACCACTGGCATCGGCTTAAAACATCCTCAGTGATCGAATGAGTACATTCTGGTATGTAAGCACCTAGTGCCAGAATGATTTGACCTAAAAATTGCTTGGTCAACAAATAATATGCTATTCAATCAAGGAATTGCCAGTTCTTTTTGTTATATTATAGCATTTATCAGCTGTTAATATACTTAACATAGATCATCTACATGTTCCAATGGTGTAATCAGTTAGTGCATGGTACTTATATGACATAAATAATCAATCCATTTACTACATGCCTTTGTGAATTCTATCAGCCTTTTACTAAGTAAATGAAACTTTTAAAAAATAAATTATTGGGCTACCATTATTTTAAAGAAAATGGTTGATAGTTTTAAGATATGACTCCGTTATCATTAAGATTGTCTGTTAGTTTATAAGCACAATTATGCTATACCATATTTAGACAATACATTTATTTTGTTGATATCAATCAAAATTACTTTATAGATGACACACAAAAGAATTGTAGTATATAATATTAAGTAGATGGATATATGTTTCTGGCTGTACTGTTCTGTAAGGGCAAGTACATTGCCAAGTTTAGATACCAATTTATCATTTAATCCTAATATAATAGAATAAATACAAATTAAAGCATAGCAGGCTATAAAATAATTTGTGTAGTGGCAAAAAAAAAAAAAAAAAAAAATGAAGGCAGCTTTGCATGTAAGAGATAAAATTGAAAGAGTGATTTCTTTACCAAGAATAATCAGAACATTTTCGTACAAATTATTTGTGAGATTGCATAATCATTTTCAGAAAATTATTTAATTATATCTTCCTACTATTTTATTCCTTCTAATTTCTTAGAGAAGAAATGGTTTTGTCAAATCATGTTTTTATGTAAAATTAGGAATTTCAAGTTAACCTTCGAAAAATATAAGAGAAGAAATTAAGCAGGGCTCAGTGGCTCAGCCTGTAATCCCGCACTTTGGGAGGCTGAGGTGGGTGGACTGCCTGAGCCCGTGGGTTCGAGACCTGCATGGGCAATTTGGCGAGACCTCATCTCTACAATAAGGCAAAATATTAGCTGGGCGTGGTAGTGCGCGCCTGTAGTTCCAGCTACTTGGAAGGCTGAGGCAGAAGGATTGCCGGAGCCCAGCAGGTCGAGGCTGCAGTGGACGGGAGTGTGCCACTGCACTCCAGTGTGGGCGACAGAGTGAGACTTCAACTCAAAAAAAAAAAAAAAAAGAAATTAAATTTGATATGCAATTGACTTTGTATTTGGAAAAAGAGGATGACTAATAGTTTACAATTTCTTCTAAGACTAAGACTCTTGAAGCTAGGAGCTGCCACAGCATGCTCCACAACAATCTCCTATTTATCCAAAACCATTGCATGATTTTCAAATCAAAAGTATTGCAGTTTGCTTGATTTTTTAAAGTTAAAATGTGTTGACTGCATTCTCCTTCATTAACACCAGTATTATCCACTGTGGCAACTTCCTGAGTCTACTTTAATATATGCGATTACACTTAATTTTACTGTGTTTACATTTAATATATTCTATTTTAATAAACCGGTGACCATTATCTGGTTTCCTTGAAAGTGCTCCAGTTACATTAAATCTGGGAACCCCCTGAACAAAATCCTCGGTTTCACATTTAAAAGGTATTTAGAAATATGCATGTTTTTGGCAGACAGAAGCATTCCAACATAGCTCTTCAAAGAAAATGACAAAAATTTAGAAACCACTTCACTTTATTTGAGTAGTAGGTAGTTCAACTCCCATTCTACCAAGATAAATATTATTAGAAAAAGAACTGTATTTTATAAAATACTTTGGAATCCAATTCCTTGGTTAATTCCTTAATATATTTAAGTTAAAAGAAATTTCCAGTTATTTTCATCTTCTTACAAGATTGTTCAAGAATGATTCCATCCCAGGTGCTGACCTCTCAAAAAATTTCAATGTCAATTAACAGAAGTCAACAAGTCTTGATTTTTTTTAATTAAAAAAAAAATTACACATATGCTGGAAAATATTTTTGTTTTGCTTTGTTATGACTTGTACCTGAGAATTAAGCTTGTGCAACTGGGATTGAGAAGTTTGGTTAATTTGCTGTAGCTCTTCTTTCTCTTGATTAAGTCTTTCTCGATCCGATCGTTCCTTTTTGAAGTCTTCTTCATATATTTGTACCTAGGAAATATTAATTTGCTGTTACTGTGAGCTTTTCTTATAAGCCCTTTAAAGTGATTCCAGAAAAGATGCTATTTAGGCCTCTTCAATCTAAGGCATTCCTACCCTCTTTTCATGAATATTACTTCATGATGAGATGGAGAATATGTCTGACTATAATTTTATCTTTCACTTTGTCTAGGATGGCAGCTCTCCATTTTTTCCCCACTGAGCCTATGTTAGGAATTCAGAAGTAACCTAACAACATGTATATTTTGAAAACAAAATTCTCATCTCCCCTTATTCTGCTGCATACTCTATTGCTGTAAGGAGCCCTCCTGCTAAGTGTCACTGTTTTGGAGCAAGTCACCCATCCCCAACGCAAGGGTTTGGATGTATGAATATTGCTTGATCTTCTAAGACAGTTTACTGACAATAGCTGTTAAGTAAAATAACTAAATACTGACACACCGAAGTTTCCAAACATAGATTATAAATTGAATGCAAAATGGAAATGAAAACCTGATGCACATGGAAAGCAAAATCATAATCGTTAAAAGGTATTCACAAGTTTTGCCCCTTACAAGTAATTTTGGGAGTATATCATAAAAATAGTAATATTTGAGTAGAAGTCCTCATGAGAAGTACTCCACATACTCCAGAAAATTGATCAAACCAAAAATTAAAAACAGTTTTAATTATGTGGATGATTTTAATTGACATAGTGTTGAATGGTGGCTAGGAGACTAGCATGTGAAGCCATGAAAACAAATGAAACTTAGAGAATGAAGTAAAAAAATTCCTCTGAGACCATGATTTAAATTACAACTTATATTAAAACCTAATAGCTAGACTTTTGTCTACTAGCACTAATACTTATTACACCTTTATCACCAACAGTGTAACAAATTTTAGCTAGAGGCTTATCAATTTTAAGCCAATAACAGTAAAACAAAATAGGCAAGTGAAGAAATCAAACATTTTATATAGATCTTGATGTAGATATACATATTACATGCCAAAAGCTTTATTCACTGAAAGGACACTACATCCGGCCAAGCTGACATCTTGATGATTTGGTTAATAACTAGATTCAAATCCAGACAGTTAAACGAATGCTCTGTAAACCATCACCAGAGGCATTTTAAGTGGGAGAAGCTCATCTGTTAGAATTGAACACTCTGGCAATGTCATCACTTTAGTTAGGTAGGGGCCAAGATTCTAACTTAGTTTCTTTGTGCATTTAAAACTTTCATGTTTCACGTGGCATTTGGTGACATAATGATAGTGGGTGACCGATTAGAAACATATTTATGCAAAAAACCAGTAATAGAGCCGCTCAATTACTATGGAGATGGATTTTGTTCTCCCCTTCAGGAATTATAAAAAAATCCTCTATTTTGATACACTATGTCAAATATGAGCTAACCATTACTGTAAACACCAGGTGTAAGAGTAGCTCTTATACATGGTATACATTATATGTGAGCATCGAAGATGATTCAAGTGTTTGAACATAAGCAGTGTTTTTTTTTGCCCAGTAGAATCCTGGTGAGCACCAACTGTATTTTAGGGACTGAGAATTTGACAGAGCTTTAACACTCTCTGTATTACCCTTATTCTTTTCATGGGTTTATTTTTAAGCTATATAAATGATCTTGAATGTGATGAAGCAGCTCATTCAAATAAAATCGTTAGAAGAGAAAACCCAATTTCACCATCAAGTACTATAAAGTTTTTAGATCCAGTTACAGGTAGGTACTTTTTATGAAGTAATAACTATAGAGTACATAATAATATACAATAATAACACAATTGCTTAATTTTTCCATGCACTGCATCAAAAATCATTGTAATTGGCAGTTGCTCAGAGCAAAAACAGTAAACAAATCAGTGTCATGGACATCAGAAAAATAATGCTTTTCAGTCCTTTGTTCTATGACACCCTCTTTTCCACTACTAATTTATTACTGACAACACGTGCTCCAGAGATTGGGATTCCTGTATGTAACCAGTATTTTTTGGTATTGCCATGAACTGCTCTGACTTTTTACCTATATTAACTTATTTAACCTTTCACAGGAAAAGAGACATGATTTGCATGATTGACCACTCAGCCAAGTGAATTTCATCTGGTTGATTAAATTTACATGCAAGCCGTTTAGGCATCTAAGTTTAATCAACCATCTGTAGTAGTGTGGTAGTGTTACATCCCTCTGTCCCTGTGCTGCCCACAGACACACACAGAAGCTGTAGGGAGTGCATCCTTACTCTTACCATCCACTTGGCAACAGTGATGTTGGGCGGACAAAGTTGTGCACTGGTGGAATGCTAGGTGGTTCCCTTCATATGTGAGAGTAGCTGAGCAGACCTGGCTCTTCAGTGATTATAAGTGCAAAGTATTCTCTTTAAAACTGCTTGTTGTTGAAAGGCCCAAAGCCAGTAGCTACAGAATCACAACCTGGTTGCTACCATTTTGTCCAGAATGTGGATTAATAATGTTCTTAAAATAAATCTTGTCTACGTGAAACTGTCTAGACCCAGGGCTAATAGACTCTCACCCAAAGGTTAATTAGCATGACCCTCTTTTAACTGTGTGATCTTTGGCAAACCATTTAATTAATCTGAAACTCAATCCCCTCCTTTATAAAGAGTGGGAGTGAATTAGCTGATCTACATTCTTCCTAACAAGCTTGAAAATGTGATAGTTATAATTTACATGAATGCAAAGACCTTTCACATATTTCAAGCAGCAAGACAGCTAAACACACCCTACGAAGCGTAAGCAGCGGGCCCTGTGCTCTCCTCATAATAATACTCCTTCCAACGTCTCACCTGCTGCTTGAGAACTTCCATTTCTGTTCTCATCTCCTCATGGCTGAACTCCACTTCAGACTTCCTCAAACAGTCCTCAGAAAGTGAAGAACAGTCGATTTTCAAGGCATCCTGAAGAGCCTGTGTTTTAAGATAAGGGATTTAAGATTCACCACATCATATGCATTCCTTTATCATTGTTACAATCATCTCAAAAGCACCCACAATGTAGAATTTCTTTTTTTTTTGAGTTGGAGTCTCACTCGGTAGCCCAGACTGGAGTGCAGTGGCTGCTCCCAGCCACCGCAGCCTCGACCTACTGGGCTCCGGCGATCCTTCCGCCTCAGCCTTCCAAGTCGCTGGAACTACAGGCACGTTCTACCATGCCCGGCTAATTTTTTGATTTATTGTAGAGATGAGGTCTCGCCAAGTTGCCCAGGTGGGTCTCGAACCCGCCGGCTCAGGTAATCCACTCACCTCAGCCTCCCAAGGCGCGGGATTACAGGCTGAGCCACGAAGCCCGGCTAGAATTTCTTTTTTAATGCTGCTTACATGACCGAATAACTTTCTCCTCTCTGCTTTTCTGCGTGTATTTTTTTTTTTCCAGAAAATATGTCTTTTCTCCACGATGATGCTTATTTTATTCAATCCTCAGTATTATGTCAGGGGACTTTGATGTTAGACCTTTCTCCCCCTACCCAAGTATGAAAAAAAAATTCCATCACTTTTCTCCAGATTCTCTGCTTCAATCAAATTGTGTACTTTATCAATGATGTTCAAACTTTAGGGACCATCAGAGGTAGCAAATATGCCTATCCCTAGTGACCAACCCCAGAGATTCTGAATCAGACTCAGTACACTGAGGGTAGGGTCTCAGAATATACATTTCTCAAAAGCTGACACTGCTGGCCCCAGATGGGGTTTTGAGTAATATTATTCTACATAACCATGCCACGACTCCAACAGGAGAGAAGGATATCCATAGAAATGTAAGTCCTTGTTGATTCAATTTTGTTAGATCTCTTGTGCTGTACTTCTGCCCTGGCTTAGCCACAGTCATATTTATTTTCTGTTAAAACATTCATTGACTCACTACAGGATGGAGAGAGGGTTCTGCTTTCTTGACCTCTGGTACGAGTTGATTTTTTTTTTTTAATCGTGGGATGAGGAGGTGAAGGAAATAAGTGATACCTATATTCACCAATAAGATGATTATCCTTAGCTCATGATAGTCTTACATATACTATACTTGGTAATATCATATAAAAGACATTGCCTCTATTCTGAAGACTTTTGGTTCATGGTGAGTTCAGTAAAAATAACTTTCAGATATTGTCACAGAACACTTTTCATCCTGGTGTGACTTCAGAGTCCACAATAAAACTACTTGGTCATTACTGGAACAAATAAAAAAAGGTTCATTTTCAGAGCTCTAAGAAGAATGCATTTCTTCTATATTTCTTTAGTATTAATAATATCAGTGATATCTATTTGATATTAATGATAACTCATTCCACTGCATTAGTATACAATATAGTCATAAAGATAGAAAGACAAAAGCAAATTTGTGGTCTTTGAGTATGTGTAGATGGGCTGAGAATTTCTTAACAGAATGCCTTAGAACATATGGCTACTGTCTAACCTGATATAAATAATATTTTTCAGGAAGTTGAAGAGAAACAAGAAGTTTTTTCTTCCTCCAATAAAAATGTAAAGAAACAACCAAAGTTATTAGTATTAAGCTCTAGGAAGTGTCAGGATAGTTTTTTGTTTTAATGTGTGGATAGTAGTAGAGAGAATCTAGAATAGTATGAGCCAAATGATTATGACAATTGAATATGCTAATGATTTGTGCCACACCTATGAATAGACTATTTTTGTGGATCTTATTATTTGAATTCCCTGGTTTACTTTCTTTGTTATTTAGAATTCCAGAAATTCTGTAAATGAATCATAAATGAAAGATGAGTCTAACAGATCTTTATTCCATCTTGAGGTTTCCCAACTTCCTTGAATAAATATCTGTTAATCTATTCTAGAATGGTTATTTACTATTAGTACAGATATACTAAAGAGATCTATCCATCTCACAATGGTGTCAGACAAGTTAATTTTGCCCACAAATGGCACTGGCTAACTAGCCTTAGGTAATTATTCTCACTTTGGTTAAACATCTGGCAACTCCACAGGAACCTGATAAAAACAAAACCCCTTGGTATTTTCTTCAAAGAAAATACATTGAATTGGGTACACATGGTTGTGCAAACTTCTGAAAACAATATGCTAATTACTAAGTTGATATATTACACATTTTTGCTGTGTGAATGGGTCAATAGGCAGTCAGTTTATACAAGCAGGGCCAGTCACAACTTCCATGCTGTGATGGATGGTGTGCACAGTCAGCCACTGAAATCAACATTTTGAATAATTTTGTCACAGAGGTTAAAAAAAGGAAAGAAAATTATTCATTGAAAAGTAGACAAATAATACCTTATATTTCATTAGTATTAATACATGTGCTAAACGAGAAAGAAAACTTTCTTCATAACTCATCAGTCACTTAAATGCTTTTAAGTGACAGTGTCTGAGGTGGAATCTTTTCTGGGTTTAAGTATCCTTTTATTTTATTTTTTTAACTATTCATAAGAAATATATGAATATGCCCATTAACACATGAATCCTAGGTCCAGAATTGGCTATAGAACACATTATGTACTAGCCAATTAAATTCATTTATTCATTCTCTCATCCTTCAACAGGTATTTCAGAACTTACTATGAGCAAGGCCCTATCCTAGGCACTCAGGACACAGCAGCGAACAAAACAGAACCAAGAACTAATCATTATGTTGTCTTTGTGAGTCCCTTTCTCTATGAAAATACATGCTAAAGTTATATTTGACAACTGCACTGTGTGTGTGTGTATATATATTTATATAAAATAAAGTTTTATATATATGTGTGTGTGTGTGTGTGTGTGTGTGTGTGTGTGTGTGTGTGTGTGTGTTTGTATGTGTTTTCAACCTAAAAGTTTATTTTTATTTTTAGAGAAGTCAGGCATATTCACAAGCCCCTAAAAGTGAGCCCTAGACACTGTACCTACTGGAGAAGTCAGTCTGCAGAAATCCTGCCCTCATGGAGTTCACAGTCAAGATTGGGAGACAGAAAACAAACAAGAATATAAATATGAGAAATTAAGCATATGTTAGGTAGTAATAAATTTCAAGGAATAATTAAGGCAGGAAATACCAGGAATAGAGTTGTAACTTTAATTAAGATAGCCAATAAAGTTATCTTTGAGAGGTGACGTTTATATAAAGATCTGATTTTACTCAAATTATTTTTTCTCATTGAGATTTTACAATTATAATCACCAGAATTATGAAATTTTATAATCACTAGAATGATAAAAATTATAACATATATCCAACTTTAAAATATTGTTGAACTATAAATACAGATACACAGACATGAGGTGTGCACATGGACATGAGAAAAAAATAGAGTTATAGAGTTACTGGGTGTTGAAATATGTACAAACTTTATATCTTTGTGCTTACATTTAGGAAAATGAACTAAATAATGTAAGAAAACATAATATGGTGTCGAAATGGGTGGGATTTTAAATATAATCTCAATTATTCTTAGTTCTCCAAAAATTCTGATTTTCCACCAGAGAAAAAAATGGAAAAGATACATAGTTGTCCTGAATTTTTATATCTGAACATTGATTTTTTTCTCTTAGAGGATAAAGTGTATTGCTTAGGAAATTAATCTTCACTTTCCCATTTCTTCTGAAGAATAACTTGTCCCACAAACTGATCTAATCTAGTATCTCATTTGTAGAGCATCCTATCAACTATACAGGCACACACTTAATGTTCTGAAGATCTTTAAATGACACCTCTGAACACTAATTAACTACAACCGTTGTCCAAAATACAGGGGTTGATCATGTTCAAGTCCAATCACCTACTCTCATCTTAGATGACAATTTCTGTTGCTTTATTCATGAAAAGTATCTAGCTGAGAAATGCATAGCTCAACTCAACCCCATGCTACAGCATTCCTGTGTTCCACATAGGGCATGTCTCTTGGCAATGTCAATAGCAAGGACTTTTATTTTTTTCCCCCAGAAAAGTTAAGCTTTTTGTCTTTTAACACACACACACACACACACACACACACACACACACACACACACACACACACTATTCTTTTGCAGCAACTCACAGGCTTTCCCTTTGAAGAGTTAAGTTGGAGCTCAGGCATTACACCATTTGCATTTTCCTAAAAGCCCCTGATGTATTCTGTCCCTCTCCCCACCCCATTAAAGGTGGGTTTTAGGCTTGTTCTTGGGAGAACTGTCACCCCAGCCTAGGGTCCAGCACTGAGCATGCTGCCATGTAGTGTGTCTCATACCCAGCTCCACAGAGATCACTTTAAAGAGCAGGTCGTTTCCTCAGGAAGCTTTTGTGGTTGACCAGAGATACGTTATTGTTCGCAAACACCCACTTGCTTTATGTGGTTCTTCAAACTAAAAAAAAACTGTCTTCTATAAATTCTCCCCATTTCTCTTTTTCACAATTCTTTGCAGGGACATAACTTCCCTAAAGCCTTCCTAGCCAAGCATGGCTGAAAACTGCAGATAGGAGTGATTTGTAAAAGTGAGAATTTCTTGTGCAAGTCTCCAAGGACCCACGTTGCAGTTTAGACTTGGTTGTGAGTCTCAGTAGACATCTTAAACATGGACATCTCATTTGATCTCCCCTGCTTAATCTGGTCTGATACCTTATTGAGGCGTTTTATTTCACATTCGTAATGTTCCTTCTTCTTGTTCGCAAGAGTGTTTTTTTCCTTCAAAAGCATATTCTCTTTCTTCAATTCATGTAATTCTTCATTTAGCCTTTCCTTTTCCTTCTGAAGAGCAGGAAAACAAAATCAAAATCAATAAATGTCAAATGAGATGATCGTGGAGGAATTCTGATATATCAGGGGCTGCAGGCGGATTGAAGGGTCACCTTTCTGAAGCATAATGAAAATAGAACCTGTGAGACTTTCACCTAATGTTTCATTTGAGCAATATTCTTTGGGTGGACAACAGGGTTAGGATTGAAGAAATCTTTCTTTTATCAAAATTCAGTGAAGTATTTTGTGACCCCAGGGGGGAGAAAACCCAGTGGTCAAATAAATGTGTCTGCAGAATAGGCAAGTCCCCATGTTCTGTGACTCAGTGATGGATAAGTGGGTCAGAAAAGTCGCTGAAAGTCCTTTTTAAAAGCTGACATTGTAACAAAACAACGCCAAGTATCTCAAAGCTCAATTCTGCATCATTTTGTGCTAGAGAAGGGGAGAAGAGAATAATTTTTAGGCAAATAAGACCCCTCACTGCAGATAATTACTCAGAGTACTATACTGCTATAACTATTATTTTAAAAGGTAGAAATAAACTAGTCCAACTGCCATTACTCCTTCATGTTTTAGATAATTGTCAAGATGTCCAGAGCTTTACATAACTGAAGATGGGCTGCTTTGACGCTAACAAGCTCTGGAGACAGACAACATATATCCTATCTCTTAATTTTATACACTAGGTAGCAAACTTTCTGGGAAGTAAATTAGGTTATTAATGAGATTGAGATTTCAACCCAGTAAAATAAATATTGCAGAAAATAGGTAATTCAAGATGAGAAAGTAGCTAATATATATGCTAAAGTATGTTATTTTAGTAATTAATATTTCTCAATAGTTATTAAATTTGAGAAATCCACTTTTGGTAATTCCTTTTCTTTAAAAGAGAAAACATTTCTATTTGCTTTTATTTAAACAAAATAGGCCTATATACTTAGAAAATGAACCAATTTTTTTCTAAGTCAGCATAATTTAAGAGAAAATTATTCCAACTGGAAAATGGTCCCAACAGCATGAGGGAAAAGTTACTAAGGTTTCTGGTCAGGGGTAGTTAGAAAAGGAAGTGACTGCGACAGAGCAGAAAGGGAGTTGCTAAACCCTGCATTCCTGATTCACCGTGACGAAGACATCCTCAGCAAGGTAAGGAAACCTGGACTGACATCTGCACTGATTCTAGACACTGCCTGAAGATTTGTGCCAATGTGTCAGGAGATCAGTGATAAGACTTCATCTGAGAATCCTTACACTTTTTGTTTTTTCTTACTATATCGACAACGAGAGGCATTAGTTTAAGGTCTCATCCCATTTTCTACAATATTGGTGAAGTCCAAAGTAAAAACAGGAAGAAAAAGACTCTGTTTTAGGAGAAACCGTCATCTCAGTTGCCGCCATTCAGTTCTCAGTGGGGACTGGCGGAGCCTTAGACTCAGGACTCTGGGTTCAAGTCCCATTTTCCCAGGTACTACCTGGTCAACACCAGCAAATCAACTTCTTTACATCTCAACTTTAATATGGCAAAAAATATTTTCCTCACAGGTGAGCTGAGAATGTTAAATGAGGTGAGAGTGAAGTGCTTTTAAAAGTGTTGTACTGACGGGCTCGGTGGCTCAGCCTGTAATCCCACGCCTTTGGGCGGCTGAGGTGAGTGGATTGCCTGAGCCCGCGGGTTCGAGACCCGCCTGGGCAGCGAGACCTCATCTCTACAATAAATCAAAAAATCAGCCGGACGTGGTAGCGCATGCCTGTAATTCCGGCTACTCGGAAGGCTGAGGTGGAAGGATCGCGGAGTCCAGCAGTTCGAGGCTGCACTGGCCGGGAGCGGCCACTGCACTCCAGTCTGGGCGACAGAGTGAGACTCCAACTCAAAAAATAAATAAATAAATAAATAAATAAAATAAAAGTGTTGCACTTTTATGATCACAAAAGTAATATCTATTTGTAAAGTTCTCTGTAAGCTGAAAAGCTACTGTCTAAATGCTACGTATTGACACACTATTATTATTATTAATAATAAAAGTAATAAATATGAATAAAAGCAAAATTAAAAAATGAATTTTCTCCCAGGCTGAAATGCCCAGAAAGATATCACCAAAACTGTGCTTAGTTTTCTTTCCTGATAGGCCTGGCGAATGGCTGTCTGACTACTTGTGCAACACAGTGGGAAGCGAGCACAGCATATCCTACTTTTTTTTTTTTTTTGGAGGGGGGATCGGGGGTCTCACTCTGTCGCCCAGGCTGGAGCGCAGTGGCACGATCTCAGCTCGCCACAGCCTCGACCTTCTGGGTTCAGGCGATCCTTCCGCCTCAGTCTCCCGAGTAGTTGGGACTACTGGGGCGCGCCACCATGCCCAGCTAAGTTCTCACTCTGTTGCCCAGGCTGGTCTTGAACTCCCGGGCTCAAGCAATCCGCTCGGTTCGGCTTCCCAAAGTGCTGGGGTTAGACAGGCGTCAACCACCGCGCCGGGCTCCTTATTATGCCAGAGACGTGACCCTTGCTCCTGGCTCCCGGGGACCTGCGTCACCCATCAGGCTCCCGCGGGGTCGCCGCTCAGCTGGGAGTTGATTTTCAACGGGAAGCCGCGCTCCCCGCGTCTCCGCCCCCCCTTCCACCCCCCACCCCGCCGCCTGTTCTCAGCCCCCAGGCGGGGCGGCCGGCTCTCGGCCCGCCCACCTCTCCGCGCCCGGGCGGGTCCCGGCTCTGGTCTCGCTGCCTGTCGCCGTCTCTCGGACTCGGACGCCGCTCCTCCTCCGGGGTGCCGAGGGTTCCCTCTGCGACGGCCAGCTTGGTCTTCAGCCCTGCGACCTGAGGAGGCCGATCACAGACAGCTCTGCACACACCTCGGAAGCTCACACACCCTGGATTTATTCCTGGTCTGTGCCCCTGGGGACAGAAACGCCCCTCCTGGACGTCCCCTAAGTAAAGGCTCTCCTTCCCGCCGCCCCTAACACAGATTCGTATATTCTCATGTAAAAAGGAGCTTAGGCAGCAGTGAAGGGCACTGAAAGAGCCCCCAACTCCTCCCTCCTTCCTCCAAACCACCCGCTCCAGAGGAAGTAAAAGCCCCAGACGCCAGCGGCGGGGTGGGGGGGAGATGGGGTGGGGGGGGGTGGGGGGTGTGTTCTCTAGGCTTGCCATCCTATTTTCAACTCTCAGGATGAGCTGGCCTGATCTGAAAGAGGCTGGGAGGACCGGGGTGTAGCTGGAATAGACCTACTATCTCCTACTAGATGGCAAATTATAAATCAGCGTGACAACAGACGAGCTAGGGAGCGAATCTTAGAGATGGCTGCTTCTTCCAAGATGGATCACACCCATCCTCACACCCTGTCTTCACAGTCTGCTAGCCATAGGGAAAACAGTTTAGGCATCCTCTCTGGGATTATCGCTTTAAAATGTGGACTGCCAAACTGCTCCAGCATATTGCAAGGCTGCCTGACTATTGCCCGTGCTTGTGGGAACGTTATCCTGGGCCTTCTGAGTTCAATTATTCTGAGAATCAAAATGGGGAAGAATGGAGCAATACTGCTGCATTACTCCCTTGTGGTCAAGTTTCTTATTTCTGAATTATTAGGGGAATTCACTTTCTCTTTTTGAAGATAGAACGAGTTTAAATTTCAAATTGTCTTTTATCTATTAAAGGAGATTTTCTCCAAAAAGGTTCCATTCTCATCAAAGCAACAGCTTCTTGATAGTAAGTGTGCTTTAGAGAGAAGAGTGGGGCGTCCCATTTTTCCTCACACTTTCACCGTTACCACTGTTTGTTTTTTATCTGTGGAAATAGTTTATGCTATCTAATTAAAGGAATTAGAGCTAGCTTTGCATAAAACAGTATGGACTTACTATCTCTCACCTCACATATAACCTTGTGTGTCTATGACTGCTAATAACAAAGCAGAGACTAGGATACTCTGTGGGTCGTGATAAATGCGCCTAAGAACCCTTGAGACATCATGGGGGGCTATTTTTGCACCTATCTTTAACCGCGCTCAAGATGATTCACTGACACTGTTCATTTATCTGGAGTACCAAGAGGACAATAATGCACTCAGCATCCCCTTTCCCTGTTTTTCAACAGTTGGTTACACACAATTCTCTTTGTAGTTGAAATCAATGAGAGCCTTCACATACTTGGCCCCACCAGGATGACTGGTTTAAAGAAAATACCAAATAGAGAGAGGCAGTTACCTTTCTTTCATATACCTCTTTCATCCTTCTAAATTGCTGATACCATTGCTGGTTAACTTCCAGGAGCTGAAATTATCAAAATTTGGTGAATCAAAAAAGGAATACTGCCCGTTTAGAGATGTGGCCAAAATGAAATCACTTTTTGAGGTTACTGAGAATTTGGAAGCCATGGGTGAAGACAATATTCCTTCTACAAAGTTTTGGTTGGGCTGGGATGATTTAATTGGATACATTCTCACTTTTTCGTAACTTATTCTTACATGACAAACTATTAAGTCTTAGGTATATCTTAATAAGTCAGCTGACAGTTTATCAGCAACTTTGAACTTTTCCTAGTTACTTGAATTTTCGCATAAGCAAAGAAGCTTATGCCAATAAGAATCTAGTAAAAATTTGTAAATATTGATAGTTTTCTGTAAGGTTTATGAATGTATGAAGGGCATTTTTTCAAACCTTTCCATATTTTTCTATGTGCTTCCACTGATTATTATAATGAAATATTTTTCCTAGCTTTTGTAAAGGCAGAATTTACGAGGAGGGACCCCCCAAACCCCCCAATTCACTTATAAAAAAATATGTATTTATTCTTGGTTAAACCTCAGTCACCTTCAAAGTACTCTCTGTTTGATGCAATACATGACGCTTTTTCCACGTTTCGAAACAGCTTTTGCACTTGTCAATTTTGATGCCTTTTAGTGCTTCTGCCATTTTTTGTTTCAGCTCTTTCACATTGACAAAATGTTTTCCCTTTAAGGACTTTTTTCATTGAGGAAACAAAAAAAAGTTGCCTGGGGTGAGATAGGGTGAATAGGGAGGGTGGGACACTGGGATCATGCTGTTTTGGATCAAAAACTGCTGAACACTGAGAGGAATGTGAGCAGGTGTGCTTGTAAACCACCCGTCATGAAATGGGCAAACACGTTGAAAGAATTAAAAAAAAAAAATTCACTGAAGCTGAATGCAGCCTCTCACAACAATGCTAGCTGGTACACCAATGCCCGTGGGGTCCTAGAACACTTACCTAATGGGAAGCCTGAACTACAAAGGGCCTGCCCTTCAAAAAATAATTATGTTTTTTGGGGTCCCTCTCATATATTAATAAATCCTAGACTTCATGAACTGGTAATCGTATACTTGCAATAATATGCTTTAAAAGGTTAGCACATGATTTGTAATATACACTCAACAAATGGATAAGATCATCTTTTGAAAGTATATATTTTCAAGGAATAATGGTTTTGTCATAAAACAATATTTAGAAAGATTTCAGGCTACAAACAATTTAAAGATCTTAAGACTATCTGCTAATTAGAAGGCTGAGAAAACACTGTATGGTATTCTTCTAAGGGAAGTTCGTAGCTTCCTACATTAAGAGGAATTCCAACACATCAATATGGAATAGACACTAAGAAGATGGTCACAATGACTAAAAAACAGCAATATTATCTCCTAACTGAAAAACAAAATATCTAATTCAGAGTGGCAGTTACCAGGTAACTCTTATATTGCTGAAAATAGAGATGGTTATTTGTATAAGAATGTATAATATTATTACATAAAGAACTGGATATCTGTTGGAATTTTACAGATTAACATTTCTATGCTATAGTAACATTACTCTGTCATGGTTTAGTAATTTTCCAGAAGAGCACAATATTCTATGCAGTATCGAAGAGGAGAAGAAGGTGTACCATAAAGGAAATAAAAGATGTAATACACAACAGGGAGTGGGTTAGAAAAGGAATCACAAAATTTGTAATACATGGAGTGCTAAAATCGTCATACTTTCACCTCTTCCTTTGTCAAGAAAAAAGGTTCTAACATTTATTATACTCAGAAAGATAGAACTCAAAATAATATCCATTTCTTTCCAGTAACATTTTAGAAACAAGTTTTTTTTTTTTGTTTTGTTTTTGTTTTGTTTTGTTTTTGCATTGGAGTCTCACTCTGTCACCCAGACTGGAGTGCAGTGGCCACTCCCGGCCACCGCAGCCTCGACCTGCTGGGCTCCGGCGATCCTTCTGCCTCAGCCTTCCAAGTAGCCAGAATTATAGGCATGCGCTACCACGCCCGGCTGATTTTTTGATTTATTGTAGAGATGAGGTCTCGCTGCCCAGGTCGGTCTCGAACCCGTGGGCTCAGGCAATCCACTCATCTCAGCCTCCCAAAGGCGTGGGATTACAGGCTGAGCCACCGAGCCCGGCTAGAAACAAGTTTTTTTAATGAAAATTCTCCTTAACCTATGTGTTTGGATGCCTAAGTTGTGAAGTCATAGCACCTAAGTCAACTGTATTTAAAGCTTTTAAGAGTTTGCGCTAACCTGGAAAAAACCATGCTGCCCATCAAAAGAGGACTGGATTAAAAAAATGTGGTACATATACACAATGGAATACTACGCAGCCATAAAAAAGAACAAAATCATGAATTTCGCAGCAACCTGGATGGAACTAGAGTCTATAATACTGAGTGACCTCTCACAGAAACAAAGGTCCGAGTATCACATGTTCTCACTCATATAATGGACCTTGAACATCCAATGTAATACAATAAGAAAATGACTGACGGTACTGGGGAAA